TTTTTTTTCATTAATATGTGTTTTTGGAGTTAGTTTTGAGTTTATTCTAATTTTTTGTTATTTTGTTGTTATTTGACAATATTTTTTTTTTTTTTGGTAGGGAATCGTCGAGACTTTGACGGCTAAAGTTGAGGATTTGGACGCTATCGAAACATATCCTCCGCCACTATCACCACAATAGGCTTGTAGATTTTATTATTGTACTTTGTTAATTTATGTGTACATTTTGAATATTATATATATTGGATAATTTGACCACTATTTTTCATATGTAATTTTATTTTGAATATTTCAATTTAAATTAAAGTAATTAAAAAAAATAAAATCATACAATTAAATTAAATTTAAAAAGTAAAAATTTGAAAAATTAATATAATGAAATTGATATAAGAGAAATAATTAAAAAAAAAATGTCCAAAACCTTGGGTGACAAAATATTTCGTCGAGCAAACTATTAAACTAGTTTATTTTAATTAAAAATTTTTAAAAAACTAAAATTTAAAATTTTTTTTAAAAAAACAAAAATTTAAAAAAATTGAATATTTCGTCGCGCAAAGCGACATTAACTTTCGTCGCGCAAAATAATATTATTCGTCGTGCAAAGTAATTAATATTCGTCGCGCAAAGTAATTAATATTCGTCGCGCAAAGTAGTTAAAATTCGTCGCGCAAAGTATCTTTGAGCGACATTAGTATTCGTCGCGCAAAGTTGTTATTGTTCGTCGCGCAAAGTCCCTTTGCGAGACAAAAAAAAAATTTCGTCGCGCAAAACCTTTCTTTACGATCTTTGCGCGACGAAATTGTACTTTGCGCAACAAAATTATTTCGTCGCGCAAAGTGTTTTTTGTAGTAGTGTCTCCATAGCCAAAAATGACTTTTTGTTTTGAGATGAAGACTTATTGTCTTGATTCACCAAGATTCAAACCCTAGGTCTTCTACCAATCAGAAAACTGATATTTGAAACTGAAAGTACGGAATAAGCGTCAAAGAACCAACTTATCCACCGAAAATTGCACACTTGTCCATTTTCGAATATATTTTTATGTACATAAAGCTTACGATGTCTAGTTGTGATAATAACTCGACAATTGATATTGCTCATAATACAGTTCAACATGATTGGACAAAACATGTTGAGACCAATAGCTTCTTCATCAAAGAGAAGATTAAGAACAAGAATATTTGCATGCCTTTTGTAAAATCAGAAGAGTAGGTAGTGGATGTCTTGACAAAAGCTACTTCTGAACGAGTATTTCATAACTCAATTACAAAGTTGTGCATATTGGCGATGTGTATGCACCATCTTGAGGAGTGTTGACGTGAGTTAAGTAGGTGATTTATTTCCTATTTAGTTTAGTTGACATATCCCCGTATTATTAGCATATATTCCTTTTTATTTATTGTATCTATTTCCTTGTAAAGCATACATGTAAATTCTCATATATTTCTCCTTAAAGAGAAAAATACATCATCCAAATATTCAAACTCTACAGTTCTTATCACCAAGTAGCTCATTCCATTGAAAAGTATGCACTAAATTGTACATATTTCATCTATTGGGTTGAGGACGCACCGAGTTGGGTGATTCCTCTTCTTTCACAGGATATGTTTGTCCGCTTTGAATTAATGAAAACTTCAATTTTCCTCAAAAAATAAAAAAAATTGGATTGACTTAGGGGTGTGCATCGGAACCGTAGAACCGGTAAACCTAGTCAAACTGGGCGAAAGAAATGTAATAGCTTAGCTTACCTCTTTCTTTATTTAGGTCAGAGCCGCACCTCTCTTTTTCTCTCTTTTCTTTCCTATCTCCCTTCTTTATTTCCTCTCTTTTTCTTCCTCTTCTTTCTTCCTTTGTTTCTGTTTTTCTTTCGTTTTTCTTCCTTTTTTTCTTCGTTTTTTGTTTCTATCTTTCTGTCTTCGTTTTGAAGATCCAAACATTGGTTCTAGATCTTGATGTACATGATATAAGCTATGAAGTGTCGAGGTGTTCTCATTTTCTGTTGGTTTTGAGCTCAACAACAAGAGATATAATAATAAAGAGGCAATAACTTGCTTCTATGTTTTTCTATTTTGTTTTCTTTTCTATTTCTTTTTCTGCGTTTTCAATTTATCTGTATCTCTATTTCTATCGTGGATGAGCAGATCTGTGTTTATCTGTAACTCTATTGGTTTTTTTGGCTCCTCATAGAAAGGCTAAGGAAGTGTTTGGCTTGAATCGTGAAAAATCCTAAATAAAATTAATTGTGCTCATCAGTTTCGGCTAAAACTGAGAGAACCGAACTGGACCAAAACCTATCCTAGGTCGTTCGTTTTAATGTCAGTGTTAGCTAGAAACTAGACCGAACCGGACCAGATGAATAGTTTCGATTCTAGTTTCAGTTATGGGTGGGAACCACTGTGGCCACCCTTATTGGTCTTATTGGCCATGTGTATGCACCAACTTGAGGGGGAGTGTTTACGTGAGTTAATAATTTACAACAATCAAGGAGATTTATTTCCTAAGTTAATTAGGTGATTTATTTCCTATTTAGTTTAATCGACACATCCTTATATATTCCTTCTTACGGAGAATAATACAATCATACAAATATTCAAACCCTACAGTTCTTAGCACCAAGTAGCTCATTCCATTGCAAAGTATGCACTAAATTGTACAAATTTCATCTCTTGAGTTGAGGAGGCACCGAGAGTGATTCCTCTTCTATCACATGATATGTTATCTTCTCTTTGAATTAATGAAAGTTTCAGTTTTACTCAAAAAAATAAAATTTATTGACTAAGCTTGTCCTCTTTTCTTGATAGGTATACACATAGCCTCTTGCTATCCCTGATGTTCAAAATCCAGAAAATGAACTGGGTAACCAAAGAAACATCAGTTTCTCAGGTTTGCTAGATCTCGAAACCCCAGCTTTGGTTTAATCAAATGCAATCATGTTCTGTATATATATTCTTGTCATTTTTCAGATTTTTGCAATAATGCATCTGTTTAATAAGAAGTTGATCATGACATAGTTTGGCGCAAAAAGAAATCTGGTGAAAGAAAATTGTTCTAGTATGCTCATAAACAAGAACTTTTTTTTGAGAAAAAGATAATATATTATTAGATAATCAAATCGTTACAAGATGAGCAGCATGTATCAAAAAACATAATCAAATTGTTCATAAACAAGAACTTAAATCTTAATAAGACGTTGTGATATTAAAAAAAATAATAATAATAAAATATATAGCAAAGTCTAATGAGGGTTTCCAAGTCTAACATAACAAATGAAGCACAAAAGAATGGTAAACAAGTGTATATAATTTTTTCTTGGTTTTTTTTTTCTTTCTTTTACTATTCATATATAATCTAATTGACGAATTAAAACTTTGTGCCAACATATTGTGATTTTTAATCTGCATTGCACTCTTAGGTTTATTGCAGGGGCTTTCTTCTACTCTCCACAACCTTCTAGGTATGCAACATTCATTTCCATCTTTATATATCTTTGCACATTTATTTATTTATTTATTATCAACTTTTTAAACTGTCAACTTATTTTATTTCTATAAAAAGTGGTTGTAACATTCTCTTCGACATCAACCTAGGGATCAACCACATATGTGAAATGAAATTGATCGATGATCGCTCGCTAAATATTTTGGATGACATGTGTGAAGTGGTAAAACATGTAGATATCCAAGAAAGGGAAGATGGCCTTGTCTATGAAGCAGTATTCCAAGCTGTCCGAAGAGGGATTATTGAGTTCGTTATTCGTTTATGTAAAGTAGATCCGGATGTATTGTGGCGAAACTATTCAATGGGAAGGAACATATTTCAGTATTCAATTGAGTGTCGCCAGGAAAAAGTTTATAGCCTTATATACGGGGTTGGTCAAAGAAATCTTATTGCAACATTTTCAGATGCTTTTGGAAATGATATGCTACATCTTGCAGGGATGCTATCTCCAACGGAAAAACTTGATTGTATTTCAGGTGCAGCCTTGCAAATGCAGAGAGAAAGACAATGGTTCAAGGTTAGATATCTTCATTCTATATCTTTCTTGTAAATTAATTGTATTTAGAGCTACTTGTGGGATGTTAGGTGCTCGAGCGGCAGCTTATAAATGTGGTTATGGGTTGGTATGTTGTGGAAGAAACATATACAAATAGAGTAGTAACTTCAAAAGCTCTAAAGTTTCCCCCAGACATGTAGATATGAGCAAGATTTTTTGCTTATCTTTGAAATCTTCTTCTTCCTTCACTCTTGTTTTCTATATTTGGTGCCAAATAAATTTGTTTTTTTTAATCTCTTTTAGAATTATTTTCCATGAATGGTTGAAACAATTTTCAAAATATTTATAAATAAATAAAAAAACTGTATTGCTTTTAGAAATAGAAATGCCCATATCAGATGGTGGTTATATTTGAGGAGATAAATTTTTCTCGTTCAATAATTATGTCAACCATGACCTTTGAATCAGTTTTAATAAGAATCTCCTGCACATAAAACTGTAGTCCATCTCGGGTAGCTTCTGCCTTAGCCCCCGCGCTTGAGCTACAAACAAAACAACCAAACCCACAAGCCTTAAACGAGCCCCCACTCTGCAACCATACCCACCACAAGAAGAACTTGCAAACCATGCACCACCAAAATCGATTTTAATTGCGCCGTTGGTTTCCACAACCTCCACTGCGCTACATACCACAGGCTACGGATTCACCAAAGGTAGGGTGGAACCTTTAGCCTCTTTAACTCGGAGTATTTAAGGTTTCAAATATTTTAGGATTCATTTCAGTTTGGTACCATATGCAGTTTGGCATCAAACAATTTTTATTACGTTGTGGTCAGCAATGCTTCTTGTATTTCTTTCTTGTATTATGTTGCATTCCATAAAAGCAGTGATTCTATAATTAATTACCTGGTAGCCACAACGAACTTTAGGTTTTGTTTAATGAAATGCAGGAGGTTAAGAGTTTTGTAGTTTTACCCTCGGGAGTGAGAGCTTTCAATAAAGAGGGTAAGAGGCCCCATGAAGTATTTACCCAGAACCACAAGAAATTGAAGGAAGAAGGAGAAAAGTGGATGAAAGATACAGCAACTTCTTGTACAGTTGTAGGTGCTCTCACTATTACCATCATGTTTGCTGCAGCCTTCACGGTTCCTGGTGGAAACAATGGAGGAACAGGCTTTCCCATATTCTTACATGAAAAGATGTTTATGGTTTTTATAGTTTCAGATGCTATATCTCTCTTTTCTTCCATAACTTCAGTGCTAATGTTTTTGGGAATCCTTACATCACGCTATGCGGAAGATGATTTCCTCAAATCCTTGCCCACAAAGATGATAATAGGCCTTTCAACACTCTTGGTCTCCCTCGCTACCATGATGGTTGCCTTTTGTTCTGCCCTTTTCCTTATGCTGCATGAAATATTACATATTGTTATCCCAATCATTTTCCTCGCCAGCATTCCAGTCGCCTTATTTATTGGGATGCAATTTCCCCTTCTCGTTGAGATTTTCATTTCTACATATGGAGGAGGAATATTTGACAAGAAAGTGAAACGGTGGATGGAAATTCCTGATGGTAAATGAAATAAATTTTTTATTTTTTTATTTAGAAATGAAATAATTGTATATTACTTTCGTAATGTTGTCATCACTTCTAAGAAGCTTGTTTGTATTCACTATGTAAGTGTTTCGGGGTACTGTAATAAAAACCTGAGATTTTAATTGTTCTTAAATTATGAAGATATAGTTGAGTAGGAGCAAGGTCTTAAATATCGGAGGTATCGGAAATATCGGAAGTCAAAAAACACGGAAATATCGCAGGAAATATCGGGATATTATCGGTATCGGAAAAAATTGAATAAAAACCACGGAAATTGTAAGAAAAACTTGGAAATTTTTATTGAAACTTTGCAGAATGTTTATTTAGTCAATTATCTATTAGTTTATCACAAAAAAGTGGAAGGAAATGCATTGCATGATGGATTTAACTGATTTAAGTTGATTATATAGCGAGCTGGCAAACACCGTAAGTGTAGAAAATATGTAGTAATTAATGAAAGAAGATTAAACACACCATAATCATTTATATATAATGAATTACTACAATATTTTACACTTTATACATTGCATGGTAAGATACATGAGTGACTTAGTACCACATAGAGTTCCTATGAGGTTCAAAATTTTCACTATCTTCATCATCTCTATGTGTAGAGTAAGTATATTTTGAAGAGTAGTCATCAAATGATAAATCCCCAAAATAGTTTTGCATGTAATTGTTAACATGCCACCCATATGGATCCGAGATTGGTTGACGTTGTCCATAAGCAAAATCATTTGAAGATTGAGTCTCGGATTCTTTCCATGAGTCGCTTGATTCCATCCCAACAGGAATGGGATATGAAGGGTAGGGAAATGGTTGGTTATGAGTATAACCATAGTTACTACTCATCTCATGTGAAAATTTGTTTCTTGCAAAAAGAATTCAAAACAAAACCATGTATATATATAAATATTTTAGTATTTTCACAAAAACATAAGTGATATGGTGGTTAAGGTGTTGAAGGAGTAAAATGGTTTTCACAAATACCATGTATATAAATATTTTTGGATTTCGTATCGGGATATTATCAGGATATTATCGGGATATTATCGATAATATCTCGATATATTGCCCAAATCATTTATAAAAATGTTGAAAATATCTTCCCGATATTATCAGGATAATATCGGGATAATATCGATATATTGACGATAACACTATGGTTAGTTGTTAAAATATCGGACCCCCAAAAATAAGATATTATCGGGATAATATCGGGGATATTATCGATATTTAATACCTTGAGTAGGAGAACCCTTTGCATCTTTCCCCTCCCCTCCTCCAGCCTTCTAATGTTATTTTTGAGTGAAATGAGTTGTTTGTTTTAATGCATTAATTGTTCTTTATACAGAGATGTAGTTTTAGGGTTATGCCAAGGGTTCTCAACTCAACTCTGTCATCGTGCTTTAGCCGAGCTCGGCCTAGATGTATTTTACCTCACAAACATAAGTCCCCCAAGTCCCCAAACAAGAGAGTTCTGTGTGGGGAGTTGCATTTTAATAATTTGGCCGAGCTGGTAATATTAAATCATATCATAAATTTTGTAGTAACTCATAGATCGGCACCATGAAGAGTCCCCAAATCTCCATAAAAAAACAAGTGTGGCAAAAGGACTTGGACAGTAGCGAAGAAATAATAATTTGTTGTGCAAAGGAGAAATATAACTTGATGTGTAAATTGACTAATGGTATAGACGCCACGTATCATGATGGCATTGGTGAAGGAAGCTCAATTGAGGTTGACGAGTCTCGAGGATAGATCTTCGCCAATTTGAGGCTAAGCTCGGCATGTCTTGAGGTCGGGTCTCCACCAACATGAGGCTGAGCTTGGCAATTTGGGGTTGATTTTCTTACCAATATAAGCCTAAGCTCGACAAATGTTGAGGTTGGACTCTTGCCAACTTGGGCCTCAGCTCGGCAAGGACTTCTGCCAACCTGAGCATGGCAATTCGAGGTTGGTCCTTTGCCAACTTGGGCATGAGCTTGGTGATTTAATGTTGGTTCCATTCCAAGCTGAGCATGAGCTTGGTGATACAAGGTTGGTTATTTGCCAACCTGAGCATGAGCTTGGCAAGGTGAGGTGGGTCTCATGCTGACCTAAGCACGAGGTTGGCAAGTTGAGGTTGGTTCCTTGCCAACTTGAGCATGAGGTTGGCGATTTGATGTTGGTCTCATCGCCAACCTGAGCATGAGCTTTGTGAGTTGAGGTTGGACCTTTTGTCCATCAAGGCGCAATAAAAATTTGAGCTTGAACCTCTTGTCCATATGAGCTTGAAAAGAATTTAGTTGGGACATTTTTCCCACATGCAATTGACAAAAAATTGAGTTAGGACCTTTCGTCCATATGAGCTCGATAAAAATAGAGCTCTGACCTTTTGTCCATCAAAGCTCGCCAAAAAATGAGCTTGTACCTTTCATCCATCTGAGCTCGACAGAAATTGAGCATCGTTATGCCAGTCCACAAGTTGGTTTCTAAGTTTAGGTGATTACAAATTTATGGATTGGGGTGAATCATGACGTTCTAATTAACAGGAAAAACTGTGTAAATTAAGACCTGAAGTCTTGTAGCATAGGTAATGGAATGAGATTTGGACAGATTTGCATTTACCAAACATAGTGTAATTGCATTTGCGAAGTGGTTACCCGCATGCCATGGCCATTTTGCACGTAATTAGTGGTTCTAGTTTGAAAATTTGACATTATTTAAGAATATTGAATATTGAATATTGATTGCAACCATGTATCTTCATTTAACCCGCTGTCCTCAACAATTCTCTTCCATCTCAAGTCAAACTCATCTCTACTCTCAGAATCCCAAACACATTCTCTAAATTGTTGATAGTGAAGAATACACTCGGGCTTGTCAGAGAATTTATTCAAAATATGCCAGCTACAATACCTGTGAAATGTGTTTGGAAGAGCTTCTGAAATGGCTTTTGTCATTGCTGGATCCTGATCAGTAATAATAATTTTCGGAGCATCACCTGGCATAGCCCTAAAAAATTCTCTAAACAACCAAATGAAGGAGTCTGCAGTCTCGTCACTTAAGAATGCCCCAGAAAAAATAATTGTCTGACCATGGTTGTTTACTCCCATAATTGGTGCAAAGATCATACAATATCGATTGGTGTTGTAGGTAGTGTCGAAGATAACCGCATCACCATAAAACTTGTACGATTGCCTAGAGATTGCATCAGCCCAAAAACATCGAGTAATGTTGTGTTCAATATTTGTCTCAACCTTGAATATGAACCCTGGATTTTTTTCTTGCTCATTCATGAAATGATCAAACAACATTTCTCCATCATGACCCTTGATCTTCATACGTCTATCTCTGTTGGAGTTGTACATATCTTGTTGAGTAAAACCAACATTTTCAATGCCTCCTGCTTGCGTTGCTAGAATGTCATATTGTTGGTGTGTGGATACATTTACGGATATTAGTTGTTGTGTTACAAGTTGATCAACACCAGAAATTCGACGATGGGACTTTAATAAGTGGCGTCTTCGCGGGGTTGTCATTGGATGAGTATGAGCCTCTTCAAATATGGTGACTACGTATCCACCATATTTTGATTTAACAACTATTAGCCGTGCCTTACAAGACTCTCTGCCTACTCCACGACGCCTTTTTACAGCACCACTTGTTTCAGTTGACCAACTTCCCTCTTTATTGCAAACGTACTCTTTTCGTATGACCTCTCCGTCTTTACTCTTCTTACTAGAGTATGATCGAACACTAAACCCAGCTTCCCTTGCATACTGATTGTAAAAGTCATACACTTCTTCTAATGTTTCAAATTGTTGACCTTGGAAGGGAGTGAGCTCACCAATTACTTGAGGATAGAAAATTGATACAGAAGGATTTGTTTCCGAATCAGTTTCCATGTGAACTAATATGCCATTATTAGCTTCCATAGTTGAACAACAGGTGAGCAAATCTGTTTACCATAGAACATGCACAGATACACTTTAATCACAAAACATGGACATATATATGACATTCTGTTTTTTCTTCTCAAATATCAATTAAGAGTAGATACAAAAATATATTATATGTAAAAAATTATGTTTTCTTGTATTTTTTTTCCTTAAACCATGTTGAATGGAGCATTGAAAGCACGATGGAAAACTACAAAACTACAAAACTACAAAACTACAGTACTCCAAAAAAACAAAAAAATAAGTAGCTATGAATCACAAGAAACACAAACCATGTTGAATGGAGCATTGAAAGCACAGGTTTGATGGAAAATTACAAAACTACAGTACTCAATAAAAAAAAAAGTTGTAGAATTGTTGATGAGTTCTTAAAATCCATATCAAAACTCAGGATACCATACCCGTTTATTTTTGTTTTTTTTTACTTCATACACATGATATTCCAAAACTTTAAGAAACCATTAAAAATCTGGAGGAGTGATCTTCAAACCCATTGAAACCGTATATCAGAATTCATCCCAGAACTCCAAATCGAAGAACCATGGCTCAGATATTGAAAGAATCAGAACCAATGATAGCATACCTCTGTCGCATAGATGGTGGGTCTTCTTCTTCAATTGACGATGGTGAGTCTTCTTCTTCACGTTGGGTTGTTTGGTCTGTGTGATAGGTTTCCCAGCGTACGTCGTTCCCTCAACTGAAGTGGAGTTTGTGGTGGGTCAGGAGGGTGAAAACGGGTTAAAAGATGTAAAAAAATCTCAGCCACACAAGGTCATTAAAACAGATCCAACGGTTGAGCGCCCCATCCCTCAAATAACACTATTTGAGGGATCCCTCAACTGAAGGGGACTATATATATATATATATAGAACTGATTCCTCCAATCAAGAACTGAAACCATCGAAAGCATTGCATAGATAAATAGATGAAAGAGGTATTATTCAATTAATCACAGAAACATGGAAACGAAATAATAACGGAAACGAAATGATAAAAGAAAATTGCTCAATACCTTGTGCAGAAACCATTTCCAATTGCAGGAAAACCCTCTTTGAAGATTACATAAACACAACCAAATTACATTTGATAGATATGGACATATATAAGCATATGCACCAAACCTATAAAAAACAAATCTCCAAAATCAAACAATCCAAAATTCAGAGATTCCAAAACCAACTAAAACAAACACTAACAGGCCAAACAATTTTTTTTTCTTCATCATATTTCCAGCTATATATCTAAGACAATTTTTTTATTTTTAGGTCATTCAAGCTTGCTTCATTAAAGCATCAGCCGAAGACACCAAAGCCCAGCAAAACAACAGAGAACAACAAACAGAAAAATAAATATAAACTCAAGGCACCCTGCACAAGAACACAAGCAGGTTAAGCAACAACCCAAAAGGGAACCCCTCATGCACTAGAGGTGTCAAACGGGACGGGCCGGCCCAGCACGGCACGAGCTCAACTCGTTTAAATGAGGCACGGCACGGCACGAGCACGAATATTAATGGGCCGTGCTCGGCACGGCACGAAAACTTGGGCTGGGCCGGGATCAAAAAATAGGTCCAATGGACCGGGCCAGCCCATGGCCCGACATGGGCTGGGCTTGGCCCGAGCTTGCTTCAAGCACGGCACGAGCCCAAGCCCGGCACATGCACACTCAAGGCACCCTGAGAAGCATTGTTGGTACCAACATGAGTCATTCTTGGTAGTCCTTCGCTCAGCACACTCCCTCTAATCAAATAAAATTCACCAAATTTTGACAAGAAATACCTAAAAATCTAAGCTTGTTAAGTGGACCTTGGAAGAGGTAATAAGAGAAATAATTCATATTCAATGGAAATTTCAAAATTATGAGAAGATCATCGTTATCTTTATATAAAAATTCAAGTGACAATGACGCACATGTCTAAAAATTTAGATATGCAGCAAAATTCCCTAATATTTTTTTCTAAACAAACTATAAATATATAATGTTTTTTCCCTCTTACAAAGTGAAGTTCACGAAAATTACAAGGAAGTTTCTCACTCTCTTTCCATGTCCAAAAAGTACATCTCGAACAGTGCAGTGATAAATTATAGAACCTTCAATATTTTATTAGTTTTTATTATATTCTTTAAATATATTAAATAATTTAATTGAAGTAGTATTTTAGACTCTATTTAAAATTGTGAGAAATTATGAAAAGAGTAAGGATATTATGTATGATGAATTTTTTTTGGGGAAATTACAGAGAAGGATGAAAAAAGATTCGGGTGACAATGACGCAGAAAGTGCCGTTCTCAGCTTTTGAATCAGCAGAGAGCACCGAAAAACCGTAGTGTCCACCAAAATTACAAGGAAGTTTCTCTCTCTCCCACGGTCAAAAAGTTCATCTACGCGTACCACCGACGCAACCCACACACGCACATCACTTCACATGTGTAAGTGCAAATGCCTAAACCTCTACGTATATAAAATCATACACACCCGTCATCATCACCATCATAGAAAGTGAATCTACCTCCGGCGTCACACAACAACTGACCCTGTAACTCACTCGGCTTTAAGTATCCACCACCCTCACCACGTTTCCTACTCTCAACTCACAAATTACACATACATCCGCCAAAAAACTCACAATGGCCAGGGTGAGACCCAATTCATCCGCCTCTGATACTCTATCTTTTGGTTTAGCCCTTATTTTCTCTCTATATGCTTGCGTTTGCTTGATGGGTTTGGGTTTGAGTAATTGGTTTTCGAACAACGACACCAACAACGACACCATCGCCTCTGAGGTTGTCAAATCTTTTCAAGGTAAAATCATTCAACACCAGTTCAAAAAGCGCCCCAGTTTATCAGATCTCCTTCAAATTTTGTCTTCAGAGATTCTGATCTCCCTTTACTCCTCATGAAATTGTCTTTTTATTTTCTCTATTTTGGTGCATGGAAAAAGTAACATTCCAAAGGAATTTGATTCAGATGATGCTCTGTTTCTACTTTATGGGTTGAATCTCATCCACAATTAGATTCAATTAATTTTTTCTTTTTGTTTCATTTCTGGGATGGTTTGTAAGTTGTGTGTATTATATATATGCAACACAGGCTTAGTGAACAACCTGACGGAGGTCGGAAAAGTGGACCCCACAAAGACCAAGAATAAGGTGCGCCTGTCTCAATTTTTTAAGCAGGAATGGCTTCGGCTGAGGGCTCAAACACTACTAAGGGAACTTGTGCAAGTTGAAGGCAACTACGACAATGACGACCACGACGGCAACGACGGCAACGACGGCAACGATGGCAACGACGGCAACAGCGGCAACAGCGGCAACAGCGGCAACGACGGTGGCTGTGGCTGTGAGAAGAAAAAGGAGGAAAACGAGGGCAATGGTGGTGGCAAAATGAAGTTTCCAGCGGGTCGGTTTGGACAACTTTCATATGGAAAGGGCTACCGTCATGGATATGGTTATCAAAATGGGGCACTCATCCCGCAAAGTGCTGGTAAGATGATCAGGAGCAGAATCATAGTGGTGTATACCCAAAGGGAGCTCATGCCCCATATTGGCAAGCAGAGGCGGAGCCACAGTAGGGTCAGTGGGGTCGCACGACCTCTTGGAAGCCATGGAAATAAGCTTAGAGGTCCCTTGGAGTAGGGCTACCGTCATGGATATGGTTATCAAAATGGGGCACTCATCCCGCAAAGTGCTGGTAAGATGATCAGGAGCAGAATCATAGTGGTGTATACCCAAAGGGAGCTCATGCCCCATATTGGCAAGGAGGTCCGCAGCTCTATTTTGTTCCCTGTAAATATGAGAGATGTTGCAACTCCAGTTGCGACGCATTAATTCTTTGCAGTCCTCAATCAAACAGAATAAAGGGTGGGATTGCTCACAGGTTTTGGTTATCAAGGTGACAGTTGTCATTGAATCACTCTCAATCTCAAGGGATCTAATGTTTTTAGCCCAAGCCATTTGCAAGCCTCTGAATAGACTCCATAACTCAGCCTCCAAAATAGTTCCAAACCCGATGTTAGCTGAAAAACCACAGATCCAAGTTCCATTGGCGTTTCTCAGCAGCCCACCAGCGCATATTAAACCAGAGTTGATTTTGCAGCTACCATCCACATTCAATTTAACATTTCCAAGGGAAGGAGGCTGCCAAAGGACTTGGATAACCTCTCTAGCATGAATAACATTAATCACCTTATTGATGTCATACCATTCACAAGCAAACTGAAGAATAACCTGCATGAGGTGGGGGGGAGCTTCATAGCCAGTATTGAAAGTGGAGCAGCTTTTCTTCCTTGGCTTCTGCCATCCTTGTAACCAAAAAAAAAAAAATGGGGCACTCAAAACGGGGGAAAAAATGTTGTCACTGTGTGTGTTTTCTTCGGCTTACTGGTGATGTACAACCACTTGGCCAAGGACATTTACACTAATGTCACACTGCACGCACATCATTTACTCTACATTAAAATAGGGTCAAAAATATAAATAATTTAATTTAGGAGGTGATTTTTCCACTCTCTTTTTCTTCACTTACACTTTCTTTTACTTTTTAATATTTTTTAATCAATTTTGTTCTTTTTTGTTCTTTCTCTTTCCTATTCTACTCTTACCCTACAATTCCCTTTAATAACAAGACATGTACAATCACTGACTAATATTATGAAATAATAAAAATTAGAGACTATTATGCATACCTTACTCTTTGCATATCTAAGCTCATAATGACAGTTTGTTTAGTAGCATTCTTTGGTTCTTCTACCTGGAAACATTTTAGCCCAAAAAATTTATTATCTATTAACTAAAACAAAGATAAAAAGTACTCACATACTGGAGTTTAAAAAAAAACAAAAATTTTAGTGAAGATACTAACATTTCTATCCATTTTCCAAAAAAAAATTTGAAGACCATTTCTTCTCCTGATAACTCAAAGAAGTGGCTTTTTACACAAATACAAGAAGGTACAGGAAGGATTTTGAAAAAGCATTTGGAATAGTATAGGCTAGATGGGCTATTTATCGGGGCCCTGTACGTCTGTGGTGCAAGGTAACCTCCACTCAATCATGATGACGTATAAAATTTTGCATAACATGATTGTGGAAGATGAGTACGAATATGTCGAAAAGGAATATGATGATGAGGATACGTGTCCACAACGATCCAGGAGGGCCAGAGCAAGACAATATGAGCTGGAGAAAAGCATTACATATGAGTACCACAAAGATAGGCAGACTCTCTTTGATTACATGATTCAGGAGGGCCAGAGCAAGACAATATGAGCTGGAGCCAAGCATTACATACGAGTACAACCAAGATAGGCAGACTCTCTCTGATTACATGATTCGTCATATTAGAGTTCGATCTCCACATGTGCATCAGAGTCTCCAACATGATTTGATCAATCACCTTTGGAGGAGCTTTGGAGATAGTGAATGAGGTCGACAGTTGTTTCAATTCTTTTTTTTATATATGTTTCAATTAGGTTGTGTGTTTTCTTTTCGAATAAAATTATATTCGTGGAATTCTGATTTTTTTTTTTTTTAATGTCAAATTGTTCAAAAAATTAAGGAAGATTCACTATTATACCTAATATAGGGGCCCAAATTATAAAAAAATCATACATGAAATGGATTTTAGAAACACACTCAAAGCTCGTTTATAACGTTGAACCAAAAAAATTCACAAAAAATTTTTGGATTGTTTTTGGCTAAGCCCACGTCCAACAAGCTTATCTAATTGATAAATGTTTCAAAAACCAAAAAAAAAAAAAAGTAAAGCCAATTATCCAATAGGTTTTCCAAGTTTCAAAGCCAAGGGATAAAACAATTCAAAGGTGGGTTGATCCCACGTGAAGATATCCTAAAGGAGTTTTATAAAAATAGGAAGGAGTTTGACCAACCAATGAAAGCTCTCAAGGGAGTTTGGTGATTCCTATTTTGGGGGAGTGTTTATTGCATGAAGAGTCCTTCACAGAAGTGATCTGATCTCTGATGGCTAGCCTACAAAAAGCACGGCTGTAAATAAAAAAGGGAGGCTGGAAAGAAAAAGGGGAGAGCTCACAAGGCCACAAAGGCAGAGGAGGCAGCCGGCAGGCTGTAGAGAGAGGGAGGCTTCAAGAAAAAAAAAACACGTCTGCAAGGCCATGAAGCTTCTCTCTTGAGATCCTCCATATTGGGTGGCAACCCTCAAAATCATTTTTCTTGGATGATTAATCCAAGATGGGTGGCAACCCTCAAATCTTTTTCTTGGATGATAAATCCATGGGTGGCAACCCTCAAATCATTTTCTTGGATGAAAAATCCATGGGTGGCAACCCTCAAATCAAATTCTTGGATGATAAATCCATGATGGGTGGCAACCCTTAAATCATATATATGAACAGCAAAACCATGAGAGGATTTCTGTTCAACAAAGCTCTGCCGAGCAAAAGGAAATCCTTTGAAACAAAAATGGTGTTCTGAGAGTTAATTCCAAAAGGTACAAAAAAAAATGGTAATCACCTCTTGGACTCTCTGACCAATCCTCTCCATCTTTGCTTGAGAAAGCCTTTATTTTCCTCTCTGAAGCTGCATAAAAAAAAAAAAAAGAGAAAAGGATGTTAGTCATGAAGAAAATAATCGGCAGAGAAAAAAAAAAGGAGATCTGCAAGAAAGGGAGGCCATGTTTTCTGTCACAGCATCCTCTTGGTTGGCATATAGATGAAATAAATAAATTTAAAAAAAAAAAAAGAGATGAAGGCAACACGTTGGCCTTGTTTGCATGAGCTTGGTGTTGCTGCACATAGCAACAGCAAACAAAAAAATCTGAAGAAAAGGGCAGCCGCGTTTCTTTTGGCAGCACATAGGAGGAGCAAACAAAAAAAGAGAAAGACGCAGAACTTGGGAAGAGCCACGTTGTGCAGCCCCATGCATTGAACGCTCCATCTGTTGACATTCAAAATAAAGGGCATGATGTATAAAGAACCTCATGGGGAGAGCTTTAACCTTAACCCCTCCCCGGCTCGGAGTGGTTGCACACTTTGCCACCATTTTTTCATCAAAAAAAAAAAAAAAGGGTAAAGCACCCATAAAGTTCCATGTCCCATCTTTCTTTCTTTTTTTTTTTCTTTTTTTTTTTATGATCTTTTCTATTGAGAGGGACAATAGTATATTAAACTCACACACACTACACGGATGCTAGGACTCAACCCATGACCTTTTCTGGGAGGAGCAATTGCTCCGAACCACTACGCTATTGAGTCTTTTGCTCCATCTTCTATATTAATCCATGGCCTTTGGAAAATAAAAGAAAAAGAAAAAGGCACCTAACAATATGATCTTGAGATAAGCAGCATTATTGAATATAATCCATTCCTTTTATATTAAATTACTTGAGGAGTAAGGAGAGATTAGCACTAAAATTGTCTTACATGGCACTAAGTGAGTGGTAAAGGGTAGCATTGTCATTTCACAGTCAGGAGGCATGGTGTAAGCATGGAAGGATGGATTAGTAAAGTAATTTGGCAAAAGGAAACAAATATATAAGAATGGACTGAATGATTGATACTGAACTGGGTTTTAGTCAGTGGATGCAGTGGCAGATATGTAATATGCTACACAAAACAGGCCATGAACAAAACACAAGATCCCTCCAATTGACAGAAAATGATGGTGTGTGAAGCCACATGAAGCTCTTGACTTGTGGTTTGACCAAGTCCCAATCACCAGCATGGCCAATCCAACCCCAAAAATGATCCTGATCATCAAATGAATTTAACAATTAATCTTAATTAACCAATAATCTAATCATGTAATTTGAGAGAGAGAGAGAGAGAGAGAGAGAGAGAGAGAGAGAGAGAGAGAGCATATATATATATACATACCAGGTGAAGACGAGGCAAGCCACAGAGAGTTGCTTATTAGGAGGTGCCTTTTGGAGCTCTTCTTGAGAACAAATGCAACTGCATCCACCAAGCAAGTTAGCAACAACATGGGCTGCAACCAAAAGTCCTGCTGCGGCTAATCCTAGCTTGAAAGCTGCATGGCTTGGTTCTCTGCACTCGAAAATCCATAGCCTCAAGTGCTTGACCTGAATAGTTTGAATTATATTCCCAAAAGCCATGAACATAAACATTCCATTAACAAAGAGAATCATTGTCAGAAAGAAATTAATATACCTTGTTTTGTTCAAGCTCTGCTTCGATGCCCAGAATCCCACCTACGATGTCCATTGCCACGATCAAGAGGCACACCAAAAACCCTCCTAGTCTTACCATTTTCTCTCTCTCTCTCTCTCTCTCTCTCTCTCTCAAATTACATGATTAGATTATTGGTTAATTAAGATAAAAAAAAAAAAAAAAAAAGAAGGTTTGCTACAGCCATAACAAAAGAAGAAGAAAAGTCAACAAGCAAATTAAAAAAGAAAGAAAGAAGAAGGTGGCGTTGCCACTTTGTTGGAATTTGCTTATGGACAAATCATGGAGTGTATGCTGACATGAAGGAAAGGAAAGGTTGTCAGCAAAGAGGTGAGGGGGTTGTACTTTGAGAACAGAAATCGTGGCTTACAAATAGAAAGGTCATACCTTGCGGACGTGTTCCAAGGAAGCCTTACAGCAAGACAATGGAAAATTGGTGGTATGAGCCAGAGTTAGTCTCACGTTCTAAATAGAGTTGGCAGTGGTGCAACTCTTTCCCAAGTCTATCAAAATCACAATTCCTTTATGGTATAAATCTCTGAAGTCCTAGTCCAATTGTGATTGGTTTTTGATAAACCAGATGAGCCTTGTGCTGGTGGTGACCAATCACGGACCAACAGATAAAAAAATATTAAAGGGCCTATAAACAGATTATTGGTGGTACCCATTATTTCTCCAAAGCCCAAAATTCCTAAAGACTCAAAATATTTAATGGGTGATACAAATAATTACCCATTAAATTTGTAGAGCCCAAATTTCCTACTATATGGTTAATGGATTGATTTTAAAAATCCTCATAGCCATATTTAGGTACAAATGCAAATGTCAATTTTAAAAAATTAGTGGGTTAATCAAAATTGCTCATTATTTTTCTTGGACATTGACAAAAAGAAAAATGGTACAAAACCATTCCAAATTTTCTCATGGGTCATCTACCCATGAAAATTCCAATGAGATTAAATTCAAATATCTCAAACAGAAATTCTCAATTAGTGGGCTACACTTACCCATTAATTTCCAATTTTTCTCATGGGTCATCTACCCATGCAAATTTCAATGAGATTAAATTCAAATCTCTCAAACACGAATTCTCAATTAGTGGGCCACACTTACCCATTAATTTCCAATTTTCCCCATGGGTCATCTACATATGGAAATCTCCAAATGGTCTCAAAGACACAAATTCTTAATTAGTGGGCTACACTTACCCATTAATTTCTAAATTTTCCCATGGGTCATCTACCCATGAAAATTCCAATGAGATTAAATTTAAATCTCTAAAACACAAACTCTCAATTAGTGGGCCACATTTACCCATTAATTCCCAATTTTCCTCATAGGTCATCTACCTATGGAAATCTCCAAATTGTCTCAAAGACACAAATTCTCAATTAGTGGGCCACACTTACCCATTAATTCCCAATTTTTTCCATAGGTCATCTACCTATGAAAATCTCCAAATTGTCTCAAAGACACAAATTCTAAATTATTGGGCCACACTTACCCATTAATTTCCAATTTGGAACTACGCTGGTTTGATCCCGTCAATGGTACGTAGGCAGTCTAGCATCCTAATAGACGCAACCACAACCAAATTCCCACCAATCAAATCTCCATACAAATCATTTTGGAACTACGCCGGTTTGATCCCATTAAGGGTACGTAGGCAGTCTAGCATCCCAATAAACGCAACCGCAACACCACACCAAATCCCGAGTGGTACAAAACCACATCAAAGGCCTAAGTGGTACAAAATCACGCAAATTAAATCATCTCCGAACTACGTTGGTTTGATCCCTTCGAAAGGGTACGTAGGCAATCTAGAGATTCAATCTAGATGCAGCCGCCCAAATCTCAAATCCAAACAGAATCCCTGGTTATTCTTAACCAAATTCACCCCAAACACACGTCAAAATCGAATTCCTGGTTTGTTCAGCTAAATTCACTCAAACACTTTCTCAATCAAATTCATACAAATTTTCCCTTTTGCAATGAGTCATTCATTCATTGCAATTCTTTGAACTACGAGTGGCTTGATTCTCGTAAGGGATACGTAGGCACCCTGAGGTTGGACTTGGGAGCAACCGCAAAACCAAACACACACATTCTATTTCTTTATGATGGAATCAAAGGGTTTTCCCTTGAAGCAAGGAATTGTAATTAAGAGACTTACGTCTCTAATGGGGCGAACCTAAAATAATAAAACCCCATTATTTAATTAGTGATGGTGAAATTATGTTGGGAGGTTCACATTTTTCTTCAACAGTAACAAAGAGACTTCAAACTTCCTATAAATTTCAAAACTGCCATCGATTTCTTAAAACAAACTCAACTCCAAAACCACATATGGAAAACCCAAAACACTTGGCATCTGTTGAGGCCCAAAAAAGTCACGAGAAGCCCAAAGACATTTAAGGCCCGACATAAAATATAATGTTGGTCATGCATTTTTCATAGTGTCCATGCCATGCGAAGCCAATAATATATTTTTCATATATCAATCACTTATCAAGCTCACATGAACCCAAGTCATGTGGTTTACGGGGCTTGCATGAGGGATTGTGGTGTGGAAGGTTACGGAGGTCCACAAGGCCCACGGAAGCCCTTGGATAATGGAGACTTTGGGCTAACTACTTGGGAGCACCAAAGTCCAAGCCCATTACTTAGAGTTCTCCAATGTGGGTAAGCAAACGAGATATTTTCCAAGCATATCCTTTTGTCCATAGGAAATAGTCATTTTCCAAATACCTAGCTTTACCCATTGGAAACAAGCCTTTTCTAGCACTCCCTATTACCCGTTGGAAACAAGCCTTTTCTAGCACTCCATATTACCCGCTGGAAACAAGCCATTTCCAGCGCTTCCTTTTACCCATAGGAAATAATCAGTTTATGGTACCTAGCTTCGCATGCTGGAAAATAGCATGCCCCATCGCTCCCTTTTACCCATTGGAAATAGGCTGGTTCCAACGCCTCTCTTTGCCTATTGGAAATAAAGGAAAACCCCCACCCTCTATAAATTAAGAGGCATTTGCTGGGCAAAATCAGTTTTCTCTTGGTGGCTGCAAGCTTCTCAGCAACCATGAGAACTCATCTTCCTTCCTCATTTCAGTCGCTGCAAGTGTTCCAGCGGCCATTCCAGCCATCAACCTTCATCCTTTGGCTGCTGCAAGCATCCCAACAGCCATCAACCAACACCTCTTGGTTGCTCAAGCACCCCAGCAACCATCAAACCATGTTCCTTCCTTCCAAGCTATAAACACCATAGCCTTCAAACCTCAAGATTTTCCTCCCATTATCCTTCTCTTAAAACTATTAAATCCATAAAGCCTTACCAAGCATAACTCCAAGCTTTCCCTTCCTTCCAAGCTATAAACACCATAGCCACAAACAACAAATTATCAACGCCCAAACTCAAGCATATCCAACACCAAGCCAAGCACATGCATTCTCATTTGCTAAACTTGTGGATCTTTAGCTCCCACACTCCAAGCTCTCATGCCAAGCTCACATAATCTCAGTTCAACATCATGTTCAACTCTTCGTCAAGCTGCCGGAAATGTCAACGCAAAACACACAGCCGCTGGAAGAAAAACAAAGTACTCCTCTGAGACTTGCTTCTCCCTCGAGATACTTTGGGCCTAGTCCTCGCTAACTCATAAAAAGGGGCAACGAAGGCTTGATCCACCACTCTATGACGGTCCGAGAATCATCAAGCTTATATGAGCCTTCCGACGAAAAAGACCCCAACAGCATCAAAGTACTTTAATAAGGAAAATTAAATTCAATAGGGCCATTTGTCAATTTTTGGGGTTTTTTTTGGGTTTGTTTATAGAAATTAAATGGTGTAGGTTTTATCTTTATCACTAGTGCTAAGAATGGGTATATAACTAAATATCTCAAAAATTAAATTATGAAGTTATTTAAAAAGATTAAATGAAGAAAAGTTATCCATTAAAAAAAAATAGACTTGAATCATTCTTAAACAATTTAATGAAATTGTGAATTTAAAATTTGAGTTTGAAGGGTTGGGGGAAAAACGGTTTGAATCCAAGCAAAACTCAAATAGTTACCTTTTGAAGGGAGAAATTTGGGTTTAGGACCAAAATGATTGGAGAAGGTCTTACAATTTAAATATCGCACCATTTTGCTTCCCTAAATCCTAGTGTGTACCCAAGGTCTTAAATATCGGAGGTATCAGAAATATCGGAAGTCAAAAAACACGGAAATATCACAGGAAATATCGGGATATTATCGGTATCGGAAAAAATTGAATAAAAACCACGGAAATTGTAAGAAAAACTTGGAAATTTTTATTGAAACTTTGCAGGATGTTTATTTAGTCAATTATCTATTAATTTATCACAAAAAATTGGAAGGAAATGCATTGCATGATGGATTTAACTGATTTAAGTTGATTATATAGCGAGCTGGCAAACACCGTAAGTGTAGAAAATATGTAGTAATTAATGAAAGAAGATTAAACACACCATAATCATTTATATATAATGAATTACTATAATATTTTACACTCTATACATTGCACGGTAAGATACATGAGTGACTTAGTACCACATAGAGTTCCTATGAGGTTCAAAATTTTCACTATCTTCATCATCTCTATGTGTAGAGTAAGTATATTTTGAAGAGTAGTCATCAAATGATAAATCCCCAAAATAGTTTTGCATGTAATTGTTAACATGCCACCCATATGGATCCGAGATTTGTTGACGTTGTCCATAAGCAAAATCATTTGAAGATTGAGTCTCGGATTCCTTCCATGAGTCGCTTGATTCCATCCCAACAGGAATGGGATATGAAGGGTAGGGAAATGGTTGGTTATGAGTATAACCATAGTTACTACTCATCTCATGTGAAAATTTGTTTCGTGCAAAAAGAATTCAAAACAAAACCATGTATATATATAAATATTTTAGTATTTTCACAAAAACATAAGTGATATGGTGGTTAAGGTGTTGAAGGAGTAAAATGGTTTTCACACATACCATGTATATAAATATTTTTGGGTTTCGTATCGGGATATTATCGGGATATTATTGATAATATCTTGATATATTGCCCAAATCATTCATAAAAATGTTGAAAATATCTTCCCGATATTATCAGGATAATATCGGGATAATATCGATATATTGACGATAACACTATGGTTAGTTGTTAAAATATCGGACCCCCAAAAATCAGATATTATCGGGATAATATCGGGGATATTATCCATATTTAATACATTGTGTGTACCCAATTATTTTTTGTTTGAAAAGAGGAGGGAGACTTATAAGTTATGACACACTGATGCCTTGGTTGGCTGTCCCTATAGCATAGCCAACTTTTGCCCAGATCACGAGAAAAAAAAACAACTTTTGCCAGCTAAGACAAATTTCCCCAATTATTGAGATCTGCTCTACCCCAATTATGCGAATGTTCTTTTCAAAATTTAAAATTTAAAAATTAAAAAAAGCAAGCCTGGGCTACTAAGAATGGTGAATGGCCTGGTTCCTGCGGGTGCAATCGTTGTTGATGTTCTTAGCAAAGATAACTATGAGCATTGGAGTGCATTGGTTAAAAATTACTTGCTGGCTCAAGACCTTTGGGACGTAGTGGAGCCTACAGCTGAACCTCCTGTACCAGAAGAAGCTGATCAGCTCATCGCTGGGAGGAAGTCTGCCGCGGCGTTACATGCGATCCAAATTTCGTGTGGGCCGGATGCGTTTTCCGTGATTAAGGAGATCAGTTCAGCCAATGATGCTTGGTATATTTTGGCCCAAACGTTCAAGCCACGACAATGGAGATCTGTTCAGTCTGCAAACTCATCAAACAACCCAGGTATACTGTTAAACAAAGAACAAAGAATACAGTTACCAAAAAAAAGAACAAAGAATACTCAAATGTTAATGTGCTCCGTCCTTGCAAAGACTTGATCTGAATACATATAAACCTCTAATTTCCAAATTATTTTTATTCAGCCAAACATATATATTAGTTTAGAGTTATTTTGATAAAACGAATAATTAATGTCCAAACATATATATACTTGACAGATGAGAACAATGTGGCCGAGCATGATCTGGATGAACCTTTCTTTGCTGTGGCCGAGCATGATCTGTATGAACCTTTCTGTGCTGCTGTTAAGATCGGTGATTGGCATAAAACGAATGAGTTTCTTAGCCGATATCCCGATGCAATAAGAAAAAGATATTCAACAGGAGGGACAGCTCTTCACATTGCAACCAAGTTCGGACATGAGCATATGGTGGAAGAGTTGGTGCAGTTGATGACAGCTGAAGACTTGGAGATACGAGATTTTGGTTGGACAGCTCTTCATCTTGCTGCAAGATTAAGTCTCAAAATGGTTGAATGCATGGTTGAAAAGAACAGGAATCTACTTGGTATGGTCGAAAGGTCCCACGGTCTGACGCCAATTCTCTTCGCTGCTAAAAATGACTTATGGGATATCGTTCGTTATCTGTATCACCTCACTCCGATCGAAGGCCTAATGCCAGAGAATGGCCCTTATGGCGCTGGACTTGTTTGCTTTTGTTTCTATGCCAAACAATTTGGTAAAGTTCTCAACCAACCCAAACCCACATGATTTATTTATTTATTATTCAAGCTTTAACTTTTTTTATTTGCCAAAATTCAAGCTTTAACTTTCACAAATCCTGTTTTTTGTTTTGTTTTTCTAATAATAGATATTGCCTGGGACTTACTTCACCGCTGCCCACGATTGGCCATTACTAAAGGTCCGACGGGCGAATCCCCTATATTTGTATTGGCAGATATCCCTTCTGTATTCCCGAGTGGGACGCCGCTCAAATTCTGGCAACAGTGGATCTATGACCGTTAGTAATACATTCTCTTTTCTCTTGCTACAATCACGTTCATTATATCCCATGTATATTTTGCTAACAGTTTATATACCCCAACTCACTTAAATTTTCTTATGTTTCATAGTTTCAATTGTAAATTTACTCCTCCTCTGCTCTTCATCACCCCCAATCTCCTCCTTCCTCGTGCGCTTCTTCATCCTCCCTCCCTCCCCATTTCAAGAATAAATGGAAAGAATTTGACCAAAAATAAATAAATAAACAAAAGAGTAGATAAAAAGAAAGAACAAAATTAATGCAATAAATAGGAAGGTCATCCAACACAGATCTAAGAAATTTTCAGTCATAAACATTTACCCGTAGCCTGTAATATGATGGATTATGAGCTGCTACATTTTGAGATTGTGCATTTACGCGCATTTTGCAACATCTAGACCATTCTATTAATATGTCTGTTTTAGGACATGACACATCAACAAATCTAGTGTTAAAAATTATTAGGATGGTCCACATGGTGTAGAATTGTGGTAAGAGTAGCATTAACATATAAGCCACAATTTTGGAAGCATGTATATGTTCATAAAGCTCTTCATCACCCCCAATCTCCTCCTTCCTCGTGCGCTTCTTCATCCTCCCTCCCTCCCCATTTCAAGAATAAATGGAAAGAATTTGACCAAAAATAAATAAATAAATAAATAAACAAAAGAGTAGATAAATAGGAAGGTCATACAACACAGATCTAAGAAATTTTCAGCCATAAACATTTACCCATAGCCTATAATATGATGGATTATGAGCTGCTATATTTAGAGATTGTGCGTTTACGCGCATTTTGCAACATCTAGACCATTCTATTAATATGTATGTTTTAAGACATGACACATCAACAACTCTAGTGTTAAAAATTATCAGGATGGTCCACATGGTGTAGAATTGTGGTAAAAGTAGCATTAACATATAAGCCACAATTTTGGAAGCATATATATGTTCATAAACAGCTATATTCACACTAATCATATTCTTCATCCCCAAGTCACCTAGGTCAGCACCTAGGTCAGTAGGTTTTGTAGTTTCCCAATCTCTATCTCCATAGCCGAAAATGACTTATTGTCTTGATTCACCAAGATTCAAACCCTAGGTCTTCTACCAATCAGAAAACTGATATTTGAAACTGAAAGTACGAAATGAGCGTCAAAGAACCAACTTCATCACCGAAAATTTCACACTTGTCCATTTTCGAAGATCTTTGTATGTATGTAAAGCTTACGATGTCTAGTTAATTGTGATAATAACTTGGCAATTGATATGGCTCATAATCCAGTTCAACATGATTGGACAAAACATGTTGAGGCCGATAGCTTCTTCATCAAAGAGAAGATTAAGAACAAGAGTATAAATTTGCATGCCTTTTGTAAAATCAGAAGAGTAGTTAGCGGATGTTGTTGTAAAATTGCCTCAAAATTAATGCACAAGTGAAGGAGGAGGCGACCGATCGCAAGGGAAAAGCGACCAGTCGTTTTTGCACAGAGTCGAAGTCTGGAGAATTCACAAGGTATCCAAAATGTATCTGCGACCGGTCGCAAGGTATCCGCGACCGGTCGCACGCAGTGCTGTGTCGTTTTTCCATGCGTTTTTCAAGGTGCCTTTCATATGTGCTTGTTCCCTACCTAACTCCAAGTGTCTCCAAAGAGTTTTATGGGTTCTAGGAAGTTTAGCAACGTGCCTTAGAAGCTGGAATACCATTTAAATGTTGTTTGTTGTCTTGTACCAAAGGGTTTTCTAGGTAGGAGACAAGGGGACAAAGGGTGCATGCTTTATGGCTTGTTTTCTGGTTTGCCTAACCTTGTGTTTAGGTGGGTAGCTGAAAGCAAGAACGTGAAGGAGTAATTGTAGTCCTCTACTAAGTCCAAAGGTCTACCTACAAAAGAAAGTGAAGATGCAAGACATCATGTGGGTGGTTAATATCAAGGAGTGGTCAAGTAGCTGAGAGTTATTGTGTCCAAGAGGTTGAACTTACCAAGGGAGGAAGAGAGAGAGGGCAATCAGTTCAAGAGAGAGCTGAGTTGAGTGTTGAGTAGTTTAGACACCAAAGAAGGGAAACACCAAGTGTGAGAGAGTGTTCACAAGTGCATCAAAGTGTTGAGCAAGGGGTGAGAGAGAAAAGAGAGCTTAGGAGAGAATAGAGTTCTAAGGGGGTTTCTGTATAAACCAAAGTTGTAACTTATTCTTTTATTAGTGAATTTCTCAAGGGGATCACCAAGAGGATGTAGGCAATTGTTGAACCTCTATAAATTCTTGTGTCACTTTGTGCTTGGTTGGTTTCTCAAGTGTATGTGTGTGATTCATCCATCCTTGTGTGTGTCACAAAGTCCATCAACAACAAGATCATTAGGGGAGTGAGTGAAAGTGTTTGTCCATTTTCACAACAGATGTCTTGACAAAAGCTGTTTCTGAACGAGTATTTCATAACTCAATTACAAAGTTGGGCATATTGGTGATGTGTATGCACCAACTTTAGGAGTGTTGACTTGAGTTAACTAGGTGATTTATTTCCTATGTAGTATAGTTGACATATCCCAGTATTATTAGCATATATTCCTTTTTATTTAGTGTATCTATTTCCTTATAAACCACACATGTAAATCTTTATATATTCTTCCTTAAAGAGAAAAATACATCATCCAAATATTCAAACTCTATAGTTCTTATCACCAAGTAGCTCATTCCATTGAAAAGTATGCACTAAATTGTACATATTTCATCTCTTGGGTTGAGGAGGCACCGAGTTGGATGATTCCTCTTCTTTCACAGGATATGTTTGTCCGCTTTGAATTAATGAAAGCTTCAATTTTACTCAAAAAATAAAAAAAATTGGATTGACTTAGGGGTGTGCATCGGAACCGTAGAACAGGTAAACCGAGTCAAACCAGGGAGAAAGAAATGTAATAGCTTAGCTTACCTCTTTCTATCTTTAAGTCAGAGCCGCACCTCTCTTTTTCCCTCTTTCTTTCCTATCTCCCTTCTTTATTTCCTCTCTTTTTCTTCCTCTTCTTTATTCCTTTATTTCTCTGTTTTTTTTTTCCTTCGTTTTTTGTTTCTATCTTTCTGTCTTCGTTTTGAAGATCCAAACTTTGGTTCTAGATCTTGATGTACATGTTATAAGCTATGAAGTGCCGAGGTGTTGTCATTTTTTGCTGGTTTTGAGCTCAACAACAAGAGATATAATAATAAAGAGGCAATAACTTGCTTCTATGTTTTTCTATTTTGTTTTCTTTTCAATTTCTTCTTCTGTATTTTCAATTTATCTGTATTTCTATTTCTATCTTGGATGAGCAGATCTGTGTTTATCGGTAACTCTATTGGTTTTTTTGGCTCCTCATAGCAACTTAGCAAGGCTAAGGAAGTGTTTGGCTTGAATCTCGAAAAATCCTCAAAAAATTAATTGTGCTCAGATTTGGTTAAAACCGAGAGAACCGAACTGGACCAAAACCTGTCCTAGGCCGTTCGGTTTAATGTCAGTGTTAGCTAGAAACTAGACCGAACCGGACTAGACCGGACTAGATGAATAGTTTCAGTGTTTGGCTTGAATCTCGAAAAATTAATTGTGCTCAGATTTGGTTAAAACCGAGAGAACCGAACTGGACCAAAACCTGTCCTAGGCCGTTCGGTTTAATGTCAGTGTTAGCTAGAAACTAGACTGAACCGGACTAGATGAATAGTTTCAGTTATGGGTGGAAAGCGAACCAAACTGTAGCCATCTTTATTGAGCATATTGGCCATGTGTATGCACCAACTTTAGGAGGAATGTTTACGTGAGTTAATAATTTATGGCAATCAAGGAGATTTATTTCCTAACTTAATTAGGTGATTTATTTCCTATTTAGTTTAGTTGACATATCCTTATATATTCCTTCTTACGGAGAATAATACAATCATCCAAATATTCAAACCCTACAGTTCTTAGCACCAAGTGGCTCATTCCACTGCAAAGTATGTACTAAATTGTACAAATTTCATCTCTTGGGTTGAGGAGGCACCGAGAGTGATTCCTCTTCTATCACATGATATGTTTTCTTCTCTTTGAATTAATGAAAGTTTCAGTTTTACTCAAAAAAATAAATTTTATTGACTAAGCTTGTCCACTTTTCCTGATAGGTATACACATACCTGATGATAGTGAAAATGTTCAAAATCCAGAAAATGAACTGGGTAACCAAAGAAATATCAGTTTCTCAGGTTTGCTAGATCTCGAAACCCCAGCTTTGGTTTAATAAAATGCAATCATTTTCTGTATATATATTCTTGTCATTTTTTCAGACTTTTGCAATAATGCATCTGTTTAATAAGAAGTTGATCATGACATAGTTTGGCGCAAAAAGAAATCTGGTGAAAGAAAATTGTTCTAGTATGCTCATAAACAAGAACTTTTTTTTTTGTGTGAGAAAAATATGATATATTATTAGATAATCAAATTGTTCTAGTATGCTAATTGACGAATTAAAACTTTGTGCCAATATATTGTGATTTTTAATCTGCATTGCACTCTTAGGTTTATTGCAGGGGCTTTCTTCTACTCTCCACAACCTTCTAGGTATGCAACATTCATTTCCATCTTTATATATCTTTGCACATTTATTTATTTATTTATTATCAACTTTTTAAACTGTCAACTTATTTTATTTCTATAAAAAGTGGTTGTAACATT